ATTCATGCATTCATTCAGTCATTCCACAGATATTTACTGACCACTTCTGTGTATAAGGCACTGTTCTAGGAGCTGAGGATGCACTAGTAAACAAAAAGGCAAAAATTTTGGCCTTTATGCTATTTACATGCTAATAAAAACAATAACATTAAAAAAATGAATGATTGTGACATGGCATGTGGGGATTATGGAGAAATATAAAGGGAGTGTGGAAAGTGGGAAGAGGGTGCTATTACAAATGAAAAATTAGGAAAATCCTCACATCAGTGAAGAGGCGAGCCATTCACTTACCTAGAGGGAGAACACTGCAGACAGAGGGCACATTGCATACAGAAGGCACTGGCCTGGCTGAGCCAGCATAGCCACTAAACCATGAATGCAGGCATCACCTCACCACCACCACCATCAGCCCCTCTGACCCCGATTCACAGTTTGAAGCCCTAAACCCCAGCGCAGCTGCAGTTGGAATAAGGAAATACATAAGATTAAGTGAGGTCATAAAGGTGGGGCCCTGAATCTGAAAGGACTGGTGTCTGTCCTTACAGAAGACACCCCTGAGAGTTCAGCAGCTCTCACGCTCTCTCCCTGGGGCAAGCACAGGGCAGAGCGAGAAGGCAACTTTCTACAAGTCAGGAAGAGAGGTCTTGTCAGAAACTGATCCAACTGGATCTTAATCTGGATCTTTGAGCCTCCAGAATGGCGAGAAAATTAATTTCAGTAGTTTAAGCCCCCCAGCATATGGTATTTTGTTATGGCAGCCCCAGCAGTCCAATACAGCCACTGTAGCAAAGGGGAGATGAGCGCAGGAGGGAGGAGAGGAACTCAAAGAGGTGGACAGGGATGGGGCATTATTTGATTTGGCAGAACATGTAGCTAGTGCCTTGGAGGTCACTGCAATGATCTGACTTTTACTCTAAATGAAATGGGCTCCCGATGGAGAGTTTTGAGCAGAGGAGTGACACAATTTACTTACATTTAACAGAATTACTCTGGCTACCATTTGAGAACAGATTGTAAGGGGAACAAGGAGTGGAAGCAGGATGCTAGTTAGGAGGCTATTACCATAATCAGAAGAGAGACAAAAGTTCTGAACCAGGATAGTAGGAATAAAGTGGTAAGAAATGGTCAGATTATGAATATACTTCTCTAACATGTTTTAATGTGAAATACAATAAACATGTATAAAAATACAGAAAACACAAATATACACCATAATAATAATATACACCCAGGTAGCTACCACACAGAAGTGTTTCACAGATAATCCCTTACCAAATGAACTCCTCTCCCTTGTAAGTGACTTGCTTTTTATAATAATCATTTCCTTGCTTTTCTTTCATGTTTTAGAACTTAGTATAAGTAGAATTATACAGTGTGAAATTTTCTGTCATGACTTTTTGCTCCCAACATTATGCTTGTGAAATTCATCCATTTTGCATGGAGCTGTGTAGGGTTCATTTTAATCTGGAATATTGGACTGTTTAAACATAGTTCACTGTATTCATCCATTTTATTGTCAGTAGACATTTGGGTTATTTCATATTTTGAATATATCATGAATGTCATTTGAATATTCTTGTCCATTTCCTGGTGCACATGTACATTTCTCCATAATGAACACCCAGGAGTGGAATTGCAAGGTCATAGAATATGTAGTCTTCAGTTTACTAGATAACACCAACCTCTTCTCCAAAGAAGTTGTACACATTTATACTGCCTCAACAGTGTTCAATGGTTCCAGTTACTTTAGAATTTTAGCACTTGGTTTTTCAGCTGCTTTAAATTTAGCCATTCTGATGCAAACTTAATTTGCAACTCCTGGATTATTAATATGGTTGGTTACTTTTTTGTACATTTGTTGGTAATCTCCATATTTCTTTGGGGAAGTGCCTGGTCAAGTCTTTTGCCCATTTTTCTATTGGGTTGTCTGTCTTTTTATTCACTAATTTGCAAGATACTAATCCCTTATTAGTATGTGTATATATGTGTAGCAAATACCTTTCCCTATTTCGTGCCTTGTATTTCACTCTATGGTGTCTTCTGATGAAAATAACATTTTAATTTTAATGTTGCAGAATGCATTGATATTTTCTTCTGCTTGCTTCTTACATTTTAAAAAAAGAAAATTTCCCTACCATGGGATCAGATAGTCTCCTATGTTACCTTCAAGAAGGTAATAGGAGAAAATCTCCTGTACTACCTTTTAGAAGATTTATTTTTGCTTTTTCACATTAGGTCTTTACAAAGGGGTCCCATTTCCTTCTCTTTCTTCCTTTCCCTCCCCCACCCTTCTCAGTCTCTGGGGTTTGCTCGTTTGTCCTAGCCCCATTTATTGTGAAGTTCACCCTTTTCCCCACTGATGTATCATGCAACCTCCATCATGTATCAATTGTTTATATACATGGGAGTCTGTTTCTGGAGTGTCCATTATGCTCCATGTCTGTTTGTCTATTCCTGTTCTGCACCACAGTGACATAATTACTATTGCATATTACTACTACATATTACTATTACTTACAGTCTTGATATCTCACAGAAGAAGTCCTTCAATCTTTTTCTTCATCTTCAAGACTACCTTGGTCATCCTTCACCCTTCCTACTTCCATATAAATGTTAGAATAGGCTCATTAAGCTCCACAAAAAGATGGAGTTTGATTAGGATTACATTTATTCCATAAATCAGTCTGGAGAGAATTGTCATCTTAACCATACAGAGTCTTCCAACCTGTGAGCTTGGCATCTCTCTCTTAAAATATGTCTTCTTTAATATCAGTAACATTTTATTTTCTTTGAAGAAGACTTTTACATCTTTTATTAGATTTATTCCTAAACATATAATATTTTATGTCATTGAAAATGATGTCTTTATAGTGACTGCACTAGTGAGGGTGAGGACTTAATAATATGAATTATGGTTGAATCACTGTGTTGTATATTTGAAACCAATGTAAGATTGTCTGTCAATAATATGTCAACAAAAAAATGATATCTTTGAAGCATTTATTTTCCATTTGTTGCTGGGAAATAGAAATGACCAATATTTATAAATTGGATTTTGTATCCAGCAACCTTACCAAACTCTCCTATTAATTTTAATATCTTAACTGTAGACTCTATTGGAGTTTCATATTATCTTCAAATAATGAGTTTGTTTCTTATGTTGCATCCTTAGACCTTTCTTTTCTTTTTCTTTCTTAATGATTGAGCTGGCTAAGACCTTCAGTAAAGCACTGATCCCAAAGGTGATTGATTTTGAATTTATATTTTGAAGGTAAAGTCAACAGGATTTGCTGATGGATTGTATTTAGTCTGTGAGAGAAAGATAGGAATCAAAGATGAGTTCAAGATTTATAGCCTGAACAACTGGAAGAATGGCACTGTCATTTACTACAGCAAGCCCAGAGTTGGTCATTATACAGTGCTGGTAATTACATGAAGAAAGACAAAAACTGATGGGTGCTTATTGGCAATGATCTCTTGGCAGATTTTTTTGCCTGGTTTTCCACTTTTGAAATAACTCACTCCAGGAAGGATTTAAACATTAAATGATATCAGTCAGGTTTGACTTGTGGCTTGCTATTAAACCACTGCCCTCCATAGGAGGCTTGTCTGAAAATGAGCTATGCACTCTGATTAAAATCCAAACCAAAAAACATGGAAAATTTTTCACACACACACACACACACACACCCAGAGTCAAGCACACACCCACCTACTATCCTGTTTTGCCATCTTTCCCCAGGTCAGATAACTACAAGCGAACCTCCCACCCAGAACACTCGGTCTCTGCAATGCACTTACAAATAGCTTGTCTGGAAAGGCCAGCTGCATTTTTTAGGGTTAACCTTATGCTTTGGATTGTTGAAGTCACATTAAACTATCCACCCAGTTTCCTGATGTTTAGGGTACAAATGTAGGGTACCTCATTGGGGTAAGGGTAATAAGCCAGCCACCTGTCCCCTCACCTACCACTCACCAGCCACCCAATCTCAAGAATGTAAGCTCCAAAAGGTAGCAATATTGTCCTAGTTATCCAAAGTGGTGCTTGTCATATAAAAGGCATACTGTATTTTGGAATTGACATTTAAAGGCTTTTTAAAAAAATACCTAAAAGAGTTAAATTTTCATTTATTGTAACTGAAAATCAATATTGTTTAAAATTGATGAGTTACAAAATAGTATTGTCACTACATGGAGGTAAATATCAGAAGAAACACTGGTAGAGTTTAAAATTTTGCCTCTAGGGAGTGGAACTCTTCTAGGGAAAAGAAAGGACTTCTGGTTTTTTTAAATACAATTTTTAACACTTTCACTTTATTTGCAATTGCCTTGATGATTTTCTGCTTTACATATCTTAATTATGTACGGTCCCAACATTGTAATACAACTATTCACTTTTGTGCATGTCCTGCCTTCTTTGTCGATACCGACACACATTCATATTTACATAGTTGTTTGCTGTCATAGCTATGTACTTTAAAGTCAGCTATTTTTCACTTAACCTACTGTTTCATCTAACATAAACAGCCTTCCGTGTTTCTACAATCTTCACAATTCTCATGTTAAAAGCTGCATGATATTCCAATGTGGTATTGTACCATAATTTAGTTAAATGCCGTAAGTGGAACATTCAGGGTTGTTTCCATTTTTGCTATTGAAAAAAGAGCTGCAAGACAGACTTGCAGGCACGCGCGGTCTTGCTCGTTTCACTTCTTTTAATCATATTGTTGAGTCACACTATGGGTTCCGTCTAGACATCCCAGGAGCAGATTAGGGACAAAGCGCGACCGGCCAGCACCAGCTCAAGGAACACTCCCGGGATCTCCCGCGGCTGGGCGGGGCCTCGCAGGAGGCGTGGCCAACACGCCCCGCCCCCGCACCGTCCCGCGTCGCGTCACCGACGTCGCGCCTGGACAAGCAGGGCGCGCGCCGCGCGGTTGCTGCTCCTGCGCCGGTTCGCTGAGTGGGCTCCGAGAGTGCGGAAGTCGGGCGCGCGGGCCATGGGTTCCTGGAAGGGGGCCGAGCTCTCGGCGCTGACCCCGCTGCGAGCTCTGTGGCTCTCGCTGGCCGCTGTCTTCCTGCTCACCCTGCTGTTGCAGCTTGTGCCTCCCGGCCTGCTCCCGAGCTCCACACTCTTCCAGGACCTGATCCGCTATGGGAAAACCAAGCGTTCTGGGCCGTCTCGCCCGGCCGCCTGTCGGGCCTTTGATGTCCCCAAGAGGTAACCGCACCCCGGGTGTGAGCCCGGGTTGCCAAGGCGCGGAGAGCACGGGGCGCCCCGCTCGGCAGCCGGCAGGGGGCAGCAGAGGCGGGCGCGGGACCGGGCCAAGCAGGCCCATGCGGGTTCCCCGGCGCGGCGTTGACTGCGCCGGCCGCCGGGCTCTGCCCGCGTCCGCCTGGTGGCCCTGGGGGCCGAATGCCCCGAGGAAAACTAGCCTCGCGCACTAGCGAGGGCACAGAACCATGAACTTGTGGCCGCACTGGCAGCGGCTAGCGCTTCTGAATTTAGGCCAGGTCAACGGGTAAAAGTCTGCTGTGGCCCCAAATTGTCCTGTCATCCCCTGCACTTCAGAGATTCACAGTCTAACTTAAGGTCGCCGGAACTCACTTGAAGAAATGAAAGCGGTCTAGCCCTTCGTGCCTCCGTTTCCCCTATTTGTCTCCCCGACCCCGCACAGGACAAAGGGTGCCACCTCCTTTGGCCACACTGACCCTGCTACCCTTCACCTCGGCACGTGCCCTGGAGAAAGGCCCAAAGTGGCACATTTTAGGCAAGCCTGTTACCAAAACTCCATTTGATTTGAAGTAGTTTTCATAACCAAGTTCAACGACAGATTACATCGTTGGAGCTTAAATAGAATTCTATCAGAAATTGTAGGACTTGTTAGTTTTATTTTATCTTTTTTTGAAGTCAGAACATGGCTGGGAAAAGTCAGCCAATCCCTTCTAGACGTTAAGAATATAGCAGTGTCTTTTCTATCTTTAAGATGCATCTAAGGCATTTAGGAACGAATCTGGAGGAATGTGATAGGGTGTCTCATTTATTAAAACACCTGAGTTATTGCTCAAACCTCTCATAGGCATGCCCCAGGGTCCTCAGACAAGAAGTATAACTTGGCTTCTGAAACGTAGATAACCCCCAACTTTTGTCTGTTGGAGAAAAGATTCATCGGGTGTTAACACTGAGAAGGAAGAACTAGGCCTTTCTGAGGAATGGTAAAGGGAAAAGGAAGAAGTATTGAGGACAAATTGGTTAAACCTTGTTTTTCTTGGAGGCTCTTTTTAAGCCAAAATTATCTGGTATCCTATTTATAATCAAGTTTGATTGTGGTACTTCCTGTTCTATCTTTATAGCAATGGTATTCCTAGATTGTCTCTTTCTTTTAATGTTACAAAGTGAAGAAAAATAATTCTTAAGTGTAAATTTTAACAATTTATTTTCTGAATTTTGAAAAAGGTGTTAGTAACCCTGGATTAAAGGACACATTTCATTTCATCCCCTTCACTTGCCTGTTTCTCTGGCTGCCCTACCCCAGCTGTTAGTACCCAAGTTTGTTATATGACAGCCAAGAAACAGACTTATTATCTTTCCCATATTCATTACTACAACAATTGTACTCTTTAGACTTCCTGTAATTTCTACTTTATTGTGAAATAATTTATGCCCCTCCTTCTTCCAGAATTCTAGAGTAGAACCTCCCGTAGTAGTCCAGTGATGTTTTGTTTTCTAAATTTAAACAAACATTTCTTTTAGTATTGGAGAAGATACAGCAAATCCAGGCCAGTAATTAGAGGCAAGTATGCCTACATACTATTCTGCAATATTTTACCTTGTACAAAATTCAGTAGTACTCTAAAAGTGAAATGAGCCGGTTATTTTTACACTTAGAAATAGGCAGCTGTAAATCAGATTTCAGCACCTAAAATGGTGATTGGGCAATTTTTGTTTGGTATTATTTTTTCATAGGAAGCAAGAATAAAACGTGAAATCAATTCATGAGATGTTTGATTCCATTACCCCTGTCTGGTAGATTTTTTTTATAATTAAGGTGATGTTGCTTTTCTTACTTTGTTTCAGGCTCCTAAAAGAGTTTTGATTTCCCAGAAAGTCTGAATAATGAAGTAACTTGAAACATGAGTCATGATGTATAGTGTATGTGAAAGTACTTGTTTTTAAAATTTCAAAATGGTATCAGATGTTGCACTGACTCAGCTCTGGAGGCAGAGAGAGCCATCCAGACTTTCTGGGATAAGTTCAAGGGTCTTAACCAGAGGCCCAGGGGATCTGTGGATAGAATTCAGGGCAAACTTGTATTGGAAAAAACTTACATCTTTATTTTACTAACCTCTAGATGAAATTCAGAATTTCTTTAATGACAAGTGTAATCAACAAACCACAGTGGAATTAGCAGTACTGACAATTTTGTGCCAGTGTTTTTTTTGTTAAGGTATCACTGATATACACTCTTATGAAGAGTTCACATGAAAAAAACATTGTGGTTACTACATTCGCCCATATTATCAAGTCCCCCCCCCATACCCCATTGAAGTCATTGTCCACCAGTGTAGTAAGATTGTGCCAGTGTTTTTTAATCTTACATTAAAAGTATTGAAGAGAACTCAAAACAATACTGTCACCACTATAAGAATACTACAGTTATTCTCCACTAGATCTTGTTATTTGACACAGTAACTAAGAAGCACATATATTACTATATCAAAATGGTTTTTTAATAGTTGGGTTATCTATATTTCAGTATTACTGGTTTCCTTTATAATCCCTTTCTATTTTATGCTTATAGTAATATTTTTGAGGAGGGCCTATAGCTGTCAGACTGCCAAAGGAGTGCATGGAAGAAAACTACTAAGCCCTGCTCTAGTCCATAAATTTCCTATGCATTTACATTTGTCTTGTTTGTTACCATATCCCTGGATCACTCCCTGGCAAATAATATTTCAAAATCAAATCAATATGTTTGACTGAATTTTTTAAAAGAAAAGGTTTTAGGTTTAATTGGTTTGCTGATTAACTTGATCACTTACTCTGAGAATGACTTTGCATGAGGTACCTTCTCTTTCATTAATTATTTAACCAGTGTTTATAGTGTACTTACTATGTGCCAGGAGCTATTCTAGGCTCCTTGGAGATTTTGTTCTTGTAAGACAGACAGTAAATATGTAAACAATTCTTATAAAACAAGACAATTTCAGATGGTAATAAGTGCTTCAGAGGAAATCGAGCAGGTTTACCTGATCCTGAGCAAGACAGGAGTGGCCATGGCAGGAATGGGGATAGTGGCAGTGACAGCACTAGAAAGGATGGTCTGGGAGGGGTGAGGTAGGAAATAAGTCACTGCAGGAAGTGGGGCTGGCTCACCAGATCCTTACAGGCCATGGTGGACATCAGATTTTATTCTTAGTGTATGGAAAACCATTGGTGGCTTTAGGATGAGGAAGGAGGTGTGACATATGTGATTTATGTTTTGACAGGATGACTAGCCATTGCATATAGGAAACTGGATAAGAGGTTGGTACAGTAGTCCAGGCAAGAAGTTGTGGTAGGATTAGAGTATTAGCATAATATGCCTGCTTGTCATATAGGTGGTGGTGATATTAAAGCACTTACACAAGGACAGGCACCTAGTCAGAACTCGGGTAAACATTAGTTCCCTTCCTTAGTTAACCCCGTCACTCCCGTAACTGGGCCTGGCAGCCCTCCAGTGGCTTCCAGCTCACAGGAAGAGCCCAAGACCCTCTTCAGCCTTGTCCTCACCACCTCACTGACTTTGTCTTCTCTAGTGTGCCGCCCTGTGGTTCCAGGCCAGTGCCCTGGGCCTCTCTATAGTCCTGTCTCCCACCATGGCAGCCTTTGGACTGCCTGTTGCTTCTACTCGGAAGGCTGTATCCCCAAGTAGCCACATGGTGTATGCCCTCACTTCCTATAATTTTACTCAAAGTTTACCTTCTCAATGAAGCCTCCCAGTCCACCCTGTTTAATAAAAGTATAATGAATGCTAAGATCCCCAGTATCCCTTCTCTTCCTGGCCCTAGTTTTCTTAGTAACATTACCACCTACTGACAAAAAATTTATTTTTGTATGTCCATGAGTATAAGGTCCATGACAGCAGGAATTGCTGTCTGTTCTTTACTGTATCCCCAAAGCCCAGAGCAGTGTCTGGTGTATAATAAGCACTAAAATGTTTGTTAAAGGAGTGTTTGGTTAGTGCCAAGCCCTGTGTTAGCATAAGGATCATCTTATCCCATGGGCTTGGAAAACAGTACTACAGTTATGCAAAGTGCCAGGGAAGAAAAAAAGAGTGTCTACATCAGAACAAGTGGAATTTTCAGATCTGTTCTTGCAGGCTATAGCTGTGTCTTTTTAAAAAGCAAGAGATGGATAAAAAGTAGAATGTGTATCTTATAGAGGGATATCAGGCAAGAAAAACAAGAGAGAGAATATACAAAACCTAGGAGTAAGAAAAATTGCCTCTGAATCAAAAACACTGTGGCACAAGTAGGGCACAGCAAGATGTGGCTTAGCAGCTTAACAAACATATTTGAGTGATTTGTTTAACTTAAGGCTCGGTATAAATTGGTACATGTAACATAAGGCCAGAAAAGCAGGTTCAGACAAATCTAGATGGCATGAATAGGAGTGCAGTGGTATGATTTTAACTTGAGAGGCAGCAGGGCTGAGTCTAGAGCCAAACGCTGCTCCTTACTGGGTGACCTTAGGTAATTGACTTGACATCTCCGAGTCTTAATTTTCTCATCTGCCACATGAAGGTAATGACAATAAACTCAACAGGATTTCCACCTAGTTATGAGAGGCATTTTTTTTACTCAAAAATGAGTGCTATGAATGAACAATGCTCTTTGTGTGTGTGTGTGTGTGTGGTAAAATACACATGACAACATTGTCATGTATATTTTTTTGAGTGTATGTCTTTGTGGCTTTAAATACATTCACGTTGTTGTGTACCATCACCACCTTCCATCTCCAGAACTTGTCCGTCAGTCAGAGGGATTTTTAAAACATGAATTATTACTTTACGTCACTCTGCTCAAATGGCTCATCATACATAGTAAAAGCCAGTGTCCTTCAAGACCCTGTAACATCTGCCCTTCCCGCTCACTGCCAACCCAGCTCCACACTGATGTCCTTTATTATTCCTCAGGGTCTTTGGGGTTGTCATTTCCTCTTCCTAGAAAATTCTTCCCTCCGAAATTACAAGGGTTACTCATTCTAACCAAATGTTACTTCCAAAGAGGCCATCCTTGATCACTCATCCAGAAGGGTGTCCTCCTGCACTTCTCTGCCCCCTCACCCAGCATCATGCCAAATGTCTACAGGTTCATTTGTTGACCAACCCCTGAAAGGTAAATTTCATCAAGGCCAGCTTCTTGAACATTGCCTGGCACGCTCTAAGGTCTCAATGAGTAATTTTGAAAAAATAGAGTAGGTAAAGTGGCTGGCCCAGAAGTTGCTCCCCAGGAGCCAGCCCCACCCCTGTCCCTGGGAGCCTGCAGAGCAAGGTGCTGACTCTCAGCTCTGCTTCCGTGGCTCAGACCATATATGGGCTCAGTTCTGGGAAGTGTGTCTTAAAGGAAGACCCTGGAAGGCAACCAAAGTCCAGCGGCCATGTGGGGTGGAACTGACACTGATTCATGAACTTTTGAGATTGGAGAAGGTCAGAATCAGGAATAGGAGAGTTCAGAGAGGGCAGAGTCAGTAGTAGGATTTGTAACAGTAGTTCACAGAATTTAGTGGATTGTTATGGAATGATCAGATTAGATCAATGTCAGACTGGGTTGTGGGCATGGTCTGGGGAACCGCAAGTTCTGGCACAAGCATATTCTGGATCGTGTAGTAAAGGAGCCATGAAATTCGTGTTTAATCATCTTAACTCCAGGTCTTCTTACTTCTTCACAGACCAATGAGACAAGAGGGAGAGGACTTAATACATAAGTGGTGCACTAAAGACCAGGGAAGGCCAGTCACCTCCAGGCACCCAGCAGAGCCAGAAAGATTATGAATGATTTGAATAGAGAAAAAGAGTGGAGGTGTAAGGTCTCAAAAAAAGCATGTTAGGCCTTTGAGCCTCACACTAGGTGATTTCATTTCAGCAAACATCTTTCACATTAAATTAACATGGCTGATTTCAATCTTTATTGACTTTGTCATTTTATTTACATCTCATTTGCAATGATGTTGATTGTGCAGACACCGTACTTTATGAGATCTATAACCATCAGGAGTAATACCTAGTCTTATGAGTTAATATTTGTCTTGTTATTATAAAAACAATTTAGGTTAACATAATTTAGGGAAACACTAGAATCAGAACACCTTTAAGATTTCTTGCAGGTCTGAGAGCCTGTGATTGTGCAAATCTTATGTAACACTTGTATGGCTATTGCAGCAGTATTTCTCAGGGTTTAGAAATCTTTCACAGATTTGGCTTGTGTTAGTACAATCTAGGTTCTCTGCCAAGGCCTGGGCCCCCTTTTTTGGAACTTGAGCCCAATCCTGTTTCCCAGAGATAAGAGCAATTGCTAAGTGACCATCAATCTAAGTTTAACAAGGTCAGTCATGTTCTTGTTCACCTTCGGAGGCCTCTGTTTCTATGGTTTAACTGGTCCAGTCATTTGAAAGGACATTTAAAAAATCTGAATGCCCGCAGGATTCAGGTTCTGTTAAAGAGCAAAACTATGCTTGGGAAGGGGGAGAAGAGGATGGAGAAACTAAAAATAGTTTTCCTGCATAATGCTTTAAAGTGGGTCTCCTCTGATTTTTACCAAACTAGTGTTGCCTTTGCAGGTATTTTTCTCACTTCTATATCCTCTCAGTGCTGTGGAATGGCTTCCTACTTTGGCGCCTGACTCAGGCTGTGTTCCTGGGAGCACCTTTTCCAAGCTGGCTTCATGGTTTGCTCAGAATTCTTGGGGCTGCACAGTTCCAAGGTAATGCCTCCCCTGGCTCATCACAACTGGTCACATCCTGTTCCTCTTTCCTGCTTCAGGGAGCTCTTCTCAGTATTTCATAGCCACTCTGGGCCCCTCAGCCAGGCTTTGGGAGCTGGAGGGGGAGGGCGAGAAGCATTCAGCATTCTCTGCGGGCTCAGAGCCAGTGGCCCGGGGCATGTCCCCAGGTCCTTGTCAGCAATGCAGGCGGAGTCAGGAGTGTGCTCTTCATCCCTGACTTGGACAGGGATCACTGTCCTCCCTCTGATAGTTTCAGTACTGTTGACAAATTTGTACGGAAGTCTTTACACTTCAGGAAAAAGGCTTTTAGGATCCCTGGAGTTTGCCTTGAAACATTTGACTTAGATAGCCGCAACCAGAATGATGTCTCAGAACTCCAGATTTTGATAGAAAATTACTTCCTGATCACTCTTAATCATTTTTGATCATTAAAAATACGTTACACTGTAATAAGTCTTTGATTATATAATAAAATTGACTGTAAATTGTTTTTAACCAGATGATTACAAAATAGCCTTTAAATTTGCTAGCTGCCTTGGATTAAGGATACAAAGAACAATTAAAAATAAGGAATTGAGGGTGAAAACCATAAAGTAGCTTCAGTTAATAACAGGCACTGGGTGAGGGGCAGAGTTAGATACAAATTGTTCTGGTGCTATCTCTGTCCTTCCAGCAGCCAAACTACTGGCTCCCTAGGAACAATTATTTTTTATATAACCAGAGGAACTTGTTGCAAAAGAGATGACATTCAGAAGGGAAAACTTGTGCAAATTCCATATGGGAAGGGAGGGTTCCATCAGCGAATCCCACTTAACCTATTAAAACTTCATCTCTTTATTTGTTTATCCTGGGACTGGCTGGGCTTCTGGTATTTGGAGGGTTGGTTGTGAGGAGTTTTATTTAGTTATTTGTTTTAACCTGTTACTAAAGAGTTAAAACTAGGTTTTACAATTTTTTAAATACAAAAACAGGCAAAACTAATCTGTGCTAATTGAAGTGTCCCTAAGGGCTTACTTGGGAGGGTGGAGGGAGAGGGCATGCCTGGAAGGGAACACGAGGGGCTGCTAGTGTTCTGTTTCTTGCCCAGGGTACTGGTTATATGGGTGGGATGGGTAGGTTTCATTTATAAAAGTCTATTAAGCTGTATCCATATTGTATCCTTATAATGGGTGTATGTGTGTAGTATTTTTTTTTATATAGGTTTTATTCATTTTAAAAACCATCATTTCTTCTGACTTCTTTTGGGGCGGAAGGGTGCGAGGCAGGTAGGAAGGCAGATCTCAAGGCTCACAGTTCCTTAAAAGCATTTTTTTTTAATACAGAAGTATATAATATGAAAAAAATATTTTTTAATACGGAAAGATCCCACCAGGTGGGTTCTCCATTCCAAAGTCTTCCAGGAACTCTTCCTGACCATCATCAGGCTAGTAGTGCCAGGGACCAGAGACCCACAGATCCAGGGTTCTGAGTGTACAGACCCCTTTACAGTGTTGTCCACATAATATGAAAGGCTTTCACATGACAAAGCATAGTCAAGAGACCTGAATTCGTCCCAGCTCTGTCACTAGCTGGGACCTGTGTAACCTTGAGCCAAATACTTTGACTTCAGTTGGCCCACTTCCCGATAGCCAGAAAAAGGGAAGGTATTAGATTAGATGATACCTAGGGCCCCTTCCTAGCACTTGTCTTGTTTAACAGTCTGTTGAACAGTAAGGAAGAACATAACGGATTAATCTCAGAAAGAGAGATGCTGAATGTGTTGCATTCTGAATCGTAGGGGGTGAACTGGCGCTGTCTGCCTTCTTAGTGTTAGTGTTTCTGTGGCTACACAGCTTGCGAAGACTCTTCGAGTGCTTCTATGTGAGTGTCTTCTCCAATGCTGTGATTCACGTCGTGCAGTACTGTTTCGGACTTGCCTACTACGTCCTAGTTGGCCTAACTGTGCTGAGCCAAGTGCCAATGGATGGCAGGGATGGTAAGTGGTCCCTGGGGTCTGTTAGTGAGTCACTGGGAATGGAACACACTTCAGGCAAAGTGCTCCACCAAGCATATGGAAGTTTGAAAGTAGGAGACCTGCCCCACCTACTTGAATTTGAGGAGTTTGGCTTCTGATAGTAGCTTTAAAAGTCAACTTGACCAAGGGTGTATACATTAACTACAACTGCTAAAACTGAAAGGCACCAACTAGCAGTTATGTCTTCAGTAAAGATAGCAAAGTACAAAGTATTCAGGAGGCTCAATTTAAGGATAAAGGAATGGGGTTTTGGTTTTCTTCAGTGGGACTGAAGTCAGTGAACTCTTGTGGAGTAAGTCTGGAAAGAAAAGGGAGTGTGGTCAAGAGTTGGACAGGAAGCAGGGGAGCACGCAAAAAAAAGAAAAAGTCAGCAGAAGGTCTCCTCTCCACCCTTCTGACTGGTGCATGTGTGGAGGGATGAAAGGTGAGCGTGGGGTAGGGGAAGTTGAGGAACAGGATTAAATCACTCTCCATTACATTGTTCTGTTTTCTTTTCTCCAGATAACTCTCTATCTCTACCTGAAATTATCTTGGTAATTGATTTGTCTACTTGTTTCTGTCTCTCTCTTGCCACTATTTATGACATGGGTTTATCAAAGTATTCATTTTGATAAGCTCATGGGGCATGAGATCTTGCCTGAGTTATTCACTGCTTTATCCCGTGAGAGATGCCAGGCTCCATAGTCACTCAGTAACTAATGAGTAAATGACTAGTACACAGATTAGATCCTCAGTAAAGATGAGCCTTCCACCTGCCTCCCCTTTCCCACATTATAATTCCAACTTACTCTTACAAATCTTATTTCCCTCATAGGTAATTGCTCTGTGGTTAGAATAGGTGACAGCAGTGAAGTGAACTCTCAAACACTTGCTTCAACCTTTAATCCTATAGTGACTTGTTCTTAAAGTGCTCCAATATAAAACTATTTTCTATATTTCGTTTATTTTTAACTGACAAAATATACCTTTTCATTAACTGGCTAAACCTAGTAAACATTAAGCATCTATAGTAGATTATTTATATAGAGCAAGTTTTCAAAAGAAATCAACACAGGTAGACTTTGGTGGACTCTCATTAGTCATAAGCTGTCATCAACTAACTCCTGCCTCCAAAGGACCCACGTGGAATAGATCCTTGGTTCTCTTCGCTGAGTCAACTTTGTAGACTGTCTCCTGGCTCCAGAGCCCCAGAGTCCTCCGCTTTGTCCTTAGACGATTTTGTTTCTTCAGTCAGTCAAGTCAGACTAACCTGACTACTTCCTGCTGATCAGAGGGAAGTCCCAAATTTGCTTTTTCTAATGCTGATTCTTAGAAGACTTGCATTCTTCCCATCTTTCTGGTAGCTGGAAAAGATAAGATGGAAAAATAGTTTCTCTCTAATCAGAAAGGAATACTGTTTTGTCTTCCGTCTGGAGGTTTGCATTTCTCCTCTTTTTGAGGAGCCCCACCCTAGTCTTTACTTCCAGTGCTTCTTTACCCTGGTCAGAGTGAGTCAAGTCAGCATTCTCCACGCAGGGGCTCTGTAACCGTGGCTTAGCAGAGAAGTTCAGTTAGATTCTTTGAGGAAGTGTTTTTCCTAACTGTGGACGGAAAAAAGACATGAAACCATGCTTAGAAATAGAAACGTAAAGTAGTCTCACCATACAAGTAGGAGAGAGAACTGACCTTTGTGCTCAAAGCACTTGAAGAAAGAAGAAGAAAATGTGTCTCAATGTGAAATTGTTTGCCAAGGGCCACTAAAGCTGCCCCTGGCTGAGAGCCTATCTCCACCATCCACTGAGGATGGTGTTGACCTCTCTGTACTTGGGAAGTTATATCAGGAGAATCTCCTAGTTAAGAGGAGCAGATAAGGGAATAATTCTTTCTGTTGACAGAATGATTTTTTAATCATTGCTGAAATTTTGCAGAGTTGACTGGTAAGATAATTCTTATTTCTGTAGTCTATGTGATAGGGAGAAATCTCTTGATGCAAGCTCGTTGGTTCCACATCCTCGGAATGATGATGTTCATCTGGTCATCTGCCCATCAGTATCAGTGCCACGTCATTCTCGGCAATCTCAGGAAAAATAAAGCAGGTGAGAGAGCTTTTAGGGCCACTGCATGTAGATTTCAGCCCTCAGGAGTGAGTTGTCTGCGTTCCTTCACTCATTTCCTCCTGCTTTAATCTGCTGGATGGTCTATCAAATACTCATTTTTGATGAACCACCCCTCTAGGTTTTAATCTTCCCCTCTGTGAAATGAGTGTCATACTGAGAGATCTCTCTGGCCCCTCCTATTCTATTGATTCTATTCTGTGCCCACATTTGAGGACATGCACTACATGTCTGTGTCTAACCAGCATGTGGGCACTAGTGTTACCAGGCAAGTTAGTAATATTCCAGTGAAAGCAAAAAACCTTGACTTTTTGTTAACTTGTGTTGACTTATCACAGGTATAGATTTTATTAGGCTTTCTGAAATATTAAAAATGGAATAGTACTGTTAACACCAAGTGCTTATTTTGTTCTGGGCCCTATTCTGAGTGCAGATTCACAGTCCTCACTTGAGGTGGGTGTAGTCTGAGCCTTGTTTTACAGATGAGGAAACTGAGACACTGGGAAGTTAATGTAAAGTTACACAGCTTTGTAAGTGATTGAGCCAGAATTTGAACTTGTGCAGTCTGACTCTGGAATCTGAGTTTTTAATTACTAGCTTGGAGAATTAGAGAAATGAGCTTTTGTTCATGCTTATTTACAGCTAATAGTGTTACCCAAGCATGTGATTTTTTTGAGATGTAGTAGGTTGACGAGGATGGTGTGACAGGATGGTTCACACACAGGTTTCTAGTTTTCTAAATCAGTCTTTGTATATTATTTGGGGAATGAAATGATAAAACTTTGTTTTCACCACTTTGTATGTTCAGAAAATCTTCTTTTTTTGTTTCAGGAGTGGTCATTCACTGTAACCACCGAATACCTTTTGGAGACTGGTTTGAATACGTTTCTTCCCCTAACTACTTAGCAGAGCTGATGATCTACATTTCCATGGCTGTCACCTTTGGATTCTACAACTTAACTTGGTGGCTCGTGGTGACATATGTCTTCTTTAGCCAGGCCCTGTCTGCTTACTTCAGCCACAAATTCTACAAAAGCAAATTTGTCTCCTACCCAAAGCATAGGAGAGCTTTCCTACCATTTCTGTTTTGAAATAACCTCAGTCATAAAGAATGCAAATCAGGTGACAGGTGTGATTCCTAAGGACAACCAAAACTACAGACCAAAGTACAGTTTCTGCAGAAATGTTTGAAACTCTGTTCCATTTTTATACCCCAAAGTCTTTACTGAATGGGCAAAGTATTACCCATCAAGAAAATTAATCTTCAAAGAAGAAATACTCTATCAGACCTAGGAGTGATGTGTCTGCTGTCTGAGGTACTTTATAAAACCAACCAACTGCTAAAGAGTGCATGAGACTTCTCCAAGCCACTTCAAAAGCAAACTAACCAAGCATACATGAACAGCTTTGAACATACACACATATACACAAAGGAAGAGAGGAGATCACTTGTGCCCTTGATGTTAGGGACAAATTAACTAGACTACATAATATGCAGTATACAGAGGCTCAGTAACTGTTGCATCTCAGTAAAAGCAGAATAGCCTTTGAAAATAATATATTTCATACCAGATTCAGGGAAAAATTAGTTTGTTGCAGTTAGTTTATACTTTTCACACATTACCACAAAGACTTCCAGTTGTGTAACCATCAATAGTAATTTCCACACCTCCCACTGAAATTATAGCCTAACAAAGTTGAAACCTCTTTTATTTATACTTCTTTGCCATTTTTTTCAGGGGAGTACCTTAAAAAGTGAAAACATCTAAAAGTAAAGTATTTTTATATTTATGCTTAAAAAGCCTCCATGAATGGAATTGACTTGCACTCCAGCTGGAGAGTACTATAGACTCATATTGAATTATTGTCTGCCTTAGTTCATTTAAATTAATTGAATCTGAAGGTATTTAGGAATAAAGTTGACACTTAAAATAGCATATGTTAAAGAAAATACCCATTATTAAATCAAAGAGAAATAAATGCATGGTGTGAAAGAAAAAATCTGGAAATATATACTATAGCCTGAGCAACACAGGAAAAAATTGCACATGTGTGCAAAGTAAGGTTTACTCGTTAATTGTGGTGTTAACTTTATTGCTTTTATATAGATGTCCTCTAAGGTACATCTATATAAGTTTTGCACTAATATGTACCTTGCTATGGGAAGAAAAACATCATTATTAACCAGACCTTTATCAAATGCACAGTCTAAGAATGTCCTCCCCATCCCCATCCCTGGAGTAGTGAACAGAAGCTATTAAATTGAGATTCTTTTTAAACTTTCAATATATGCATATCAAAGCACATTCTAAAGTTGTTAAAGTGATTCTTCTGTAGCATTTTCTCATCAAACAAATGCCGCCTCAATCACTTGCCTAGTCTATTCAAATATATGACATTTATTTCATTTATCTTTTAGAATTGCCATCCTCAGGGCCCAGCCTCAGGAACAGAACTTTCTACACTGGAAATACGAAGCATATTGCAATTTGTTTTTAATTTCCACACAAATGGGATGAATAATTTTTCATAGCAAATTATTTGCGGGGAAAATGTATTTTGCTTTAGCATGCAATTTTATATCTCGGTTAGACTAGGAATTTAACAAATGTTCTGGTATTTTATTGTACTTTTAAGTAAAACAATGAGTGTGCCCTGTGAAGAACCCTATTAGGGGCTGTGAGGAAGTGATCCATGTCCCCCGGGTCCTTGTTCCCACTTGCCACTGTCCTTGCTGTCCCTCACACTCATTTTCATGTCTACTCTCCCTTTCCTTTCCTCCCCCCAGGCCTGCATTTCTAGGTGGAGATGAAAGAAGTAGTGTTCTCCCCAGAGGGGTTCAGAGCAGAATAGAGTGCCTGCAGGGACAGCACCTAGAGTCTGCAAATTCCTCACGTGGGCAATCCAGAAATAGGGTGGGGTCGAGCGTCTTGATTTTCCTGCTGGTTTAGTTGAAAAGCCTTAATCTTTCATGTTCAGTTAGTATTAAATTAGGGGAAATGATACAGAACTACCTCATTAATCGTCCTTGGATTCCCTAGATTAACTACAGATTTATTATAAAAGTGTGCTGAAAATAGCCTTTGTTTCTTTAATTCTCTAAATTGTGGCTCATCCTCTATACTAACATTTGCTTTCAGTAAGCATGGATTATTTTGTCTCCACAAAGCTGTGTTCTGTGTTATATTTTTAATGCAATGGGTGGTTATTACTAGAATTCCTAACTCCAAAAAAGAATTTTTTAATATGAAGCTTAATAGATGGTTTAAGAAAACTATAAATATTTGCATAAATATTTCAGGCACTAAAGGTGCCTGAAAACCCAAGGACCATTGGTAAGTAATGTATCTCAAAATGAACTGATACATTAAAGGAGACCTCAAAACTAATTGATCAAGTAGAAAATCTTTACACCTATTTAAGCAATTTCTGCCCACTCTTTCACATGCTTATCAGAAAAGAAAAGTCACTTAACTGGTTTGTGTAACTGTTACTTATATCTAACCTAAAATTTTTCTGCTAAATGGACAAGAAACAGTGAACGTGGCAGTGATCCACAAATAATTCATGTGACACATAAACTCACCATTTTTCTCAAATACCAATGATCTCGTAGAAAACCATATATCAGTGTTAGGGAAAGCAAAATTTACTTAACTGAATAAAAATATTATTGCATAAAAACTTTAAGCACACAATTGAGAAAGTATAATATTGGGTCTCTTCAAAAAGACGAACACTTGAAGCACATAGAGGACAAAAGAATACAAGGACTTTCTCAATGGAAAGACAAATCTACCTCCTGAGTCTAGCCTTCTGGGTGAACCTCGTAGCACATGTGCATTTCTTAACCAGGGCTCCTGGGCATACACAACACCTTTCTGTGAATCAGAAAAGACACTGCTAAGGATATCCCCATGGTAGCAGGGCGTGAACCTCTGTGGGCACAAAAGTCAGCTGGCAATGGGACTGCATCTCAGTGAGTAGAGCTCAGGCTGAATCTCAACCCCACTCAACCTCTTCAGCCTTGTGCCCCTTGTGCAATGCACAGACTGCACAGCCTTCCATTGAGATTACTCATCAGGCTGCCCGTCTGTCTGCAGGCTCTGCTCACTCTTGAGGTAAACAAGACATTTCAGGGAATCATCTCATTGAAAAAGACTGTAAGAGTAAAACCAGGAGAAGGAAGTAAGCACTCCATGCTAAACACCTGTGCTTCCACATAGAAAAGGAAGTTCAGTGGATAGCAGGTAAGTGGCCCTCAAACAATAGAAATGTATTCAGATTTAGAATGATGGCCCCAAATCAAGATAGTATTTTACTTCCTTTCAGAATACCAACTCTTGTCTTTCCAGCTCTGTTCTAGCACTGCAACCCCAACAATCTTTCCATCCTACTGGGACCTCCAGTCTATTGCTTTCTTGGCAGCTCTATCGTCCCTCACCTCTTCTTGTAGGTCTTTGCTTACCTCCTTTCCTTACCCTGCCTAAATTCCATGTCAATCACTATGATCAGTCCTTTGTTTACATCCTCTACTGTCTGGCCTTCCTGCACTGCTTCTTCCCCCTGATTTAGCAAAGTCACAACCCTGGTTAAATTCAACACTCTCCTTTGGGTGTGCACCTATGCAACTGAACTGTGGCTGGAGAAATGCGGCCTACCAACAGCCCACTCAAATTCATGACCACTAAGTCAAGTGGCCCTTATGCTGCAGCCATACTAAAGTTCCTTAGGCCATTCACTCTCCCACTCTGCTGACTGTTAATATCTCTGTCTTCATAATAGGAAGCTATTGGAAGAGAACTTCCACCAGTCACCACCAGTACCTCCACCCAACCTAAGTATCTGTGCCCCTATACACCACCTTCCCATGTTACTATTGTTGAATGATGCTTTTTTGAAAGAATGTAAAATCATGATTCTCATACAAATATAAAATGAATGTGTGCCAAAGACTTAGACAACTCATTAAGTGATGAGGAACCAGTAAGAAGTTAGAACCAGTTCAAAGAACTCAAAAAGCAGATACCCATATGGATAATGGGGCATGCCAAAATGAATTTAACAAATGCAAGTTAATTGCTTAATAGGTGCCAGGCTGCTTTCACAGCAGGGGAAAGAAATCAGTTGTACCTCCATTGGACAAAATTCAATTGCATGTCTATGGAAAAGAATTACTTGTATTGTCTTTCTACAATAACTTCCTTTGACTTACAGGGTTGTAAAATAGCTCAAAGAAAAGGCACAGATAACTGAAAGAGTGTACTAGACACCAAAATATTTTTTGCTCATTTCAAAATCATCTACAATTTTTCCTTGACATCAACAAACAACCTCTGGATTTCCACTCAAAGCTAGGCCCTCTCCTTGAGCACCAGCTCCTACCTAAGGACATTGCTTGGCTATTCTTCCTCCCACTAGATCATCAAATTGTTGCCCTTTTCTCATCATTTCCATAGGAAATATCTTCTAAAAACCTTCTAACCCCATTCCCCTCACCAGATAGATAACCATCGTATGTCTCTGGGGTTTTTTTGCAGCAAAACCAGGAAGATTTATTTTATTCTTATCAGCTTCAGTTCTTTTCCCCCCGCACCCCAGTCGCTCTTTAGACCTCACAACCCCACTGAAACTACTCTGGAAAAGGTCTCCAACAATCATGCTGAATCCAGCAGTCGCTTCTCGGAACTCACACCAGCAGAGCAGCAGGGGCCACCTCAGCTGGGTAACCTCTGGCCGACACCAGGGCTCCCCCTGGGTCTTCCTCCTCCCTCCCGGCTGCTCCTCCCCGGATTCCGCTCCTGATTCCTTCTCTTTTTTTCTGCCCAGAATCTTGGAGCGCACCAGTTCTCAGTCCTTGGTCCCCTTCTCTGCCTATACTTGGTGATCTCACCCATCTCATGACTTTAAATACTATTTATACACTGACAACTCCTAAATGTATACGTCCAACCTGAATATCCTGAACTCTAGACTCATATGTCCAATTGCCTATTTAACATCTTACTTAATGTATCAGATATCTTAAGTTTGACGTGATTTAAAGTTAATTTCTGATTTTCATCGTCCCCCACACATGATCTGCTACAATCTTCCCATTTTTCACTGTCTCAAATCAAAACGACGGAGTCTTCCCTGACTCTCCTCTTTCTCTCACACTCCATATACCAATCCATGGTTCTATCTTCAATGTACATCCAGAATCCATCCCTGTTGTAACTCTGTTGACTACCGTCTTGATTGGAGCTACCATCATTTCTTTCCTAATTTACTGCAGCAGATGCCACATCAGTCTCCCTGCTTTCTGTCTTATTCCCCACAGCTGATTCTCAACACCAGCCAGAGTCGCCTTCAAAAAACAAATTAGGTCATGTTACTACTCTCTCAAAACCTTGCGACAGCTCCCAATTTCTCTCAGAATATGCCAGAGTTCCTACAATAACCTACCAGACCCATATGATCTGGTCCCCAGTCACTTCTCCTACCCCATCTCCTGCTGTTCTTTCCCTCTTTCACTCTTCCTACATGCTGGCCTCCTTGCTGTGCTGTATATAGTCATGCTCCTTATCAGGGCCTTTGCACCAGCTGTTCTCCTTTGCCTGGGGACCCCCAGATAGCCAGCCACATGACTAACTCCCTCACCTCCTTCAAATTACCGTGTAACAGTACTACAAATTTTAGCAGCTTAGAACAGCAAACATCTATGATCTCAGTTTCTGTGCATCAGGATTTCACGTGCAGCTTAGCTGGGTACCTCTGCCCCAAGGATTCCTGCAGTCAGGGTGACCAGGGCTGAGGGCTCATCTGTAAGCTCCACTAAGGGAGGATCTACCTCCAGACTCATTTAGGTGCTGGTCAGCAGGATTCAGTTCCTCATGGGCTACTGAATTGAGGGTGGGGAGCCTCTCTCAGTTCCCTGCCACATGGTTCTCTTCATAGCATGGTACCAGGTCCCATCAGAGCAAGCAGGCAAGCAAAGGCAAGACAATAGACACAATCTATTTGTAAACTAATCTTGGAAGTGACATGCCATCACATTTGCCATATTCTATTTGTTAGAAGGAAGTCACTAGATCCAGCCCACACAAGTATTTTACTTCCTTTCAGAATACCAACTCTTGTCTTTCCAGCTCTGTTCTAGCACTGCAACCCCAACAATCTTTCCATCCTACTGGGACCTCCAGTCTATTGCTTTCTTGGCAGCTCTATCGTCCCTCACCTCTTCTTGTAGGTCTTTGCTTACCTCCTTTCCTTACCCTGCCTAAATTCCATGTCAATCACTATGATCAGTCCTTTGTTTACATCCTCTACTG